AACCGCTCCATCACTGCCTCTACCACTGCCATCACCACCACCACCGTCGCAGCCACCCCCGTCGTCGTCGCCATCGCCACCGCCACCACCATCATCGCCGTCGTCGTCGCTTTCGCTGCCACTGCCACCATCACCACCCCCACCCCCATCGCCGTCGCCGCCACCGCCAACTCCACCTCCGTTGCCACCACCTCCATCTCCACCGTCGCCACCACCATCGCTGTCGCTGCCGCCACCACCACAACTCCACCGCTGCCACTGTCACCCCCACCCCCACCACCATTGTCGCCGCCACCACCATCACCACTGCCGCCGCCGTTGCCGTCACCACAACCATCACCCCCACTGCCACCACGGCCACCATCGCCACCATCACCGTCGCCCTTACCGCCACCACGATCATTGCCACCTACCATAACTATCACCATCTCTTACCACCACTACTTCTGTAACGCCCCAAAAACCCCCTTGGGTGACATTACATTCTAAAAACCATTCACCCCATGAGAGCATTACGTAAATTCATTACGACGAAAGTTCATTCATCAACTATTCATATTTTAACAAAATTTGGGCAGAGTCTCCTTTGTACGGGGAGCTTTACCCAAAACACTACCTGTACAATTATATTACAATTGACCACACGGGTCCACATATGCATAACTATTGACCACACCGGGTCTATTTATCCATCATAAAATAAACTTTCATTCATCATATGTCATATCCACAATGCCATCCCAAAAGAATAGGCCAAGTATGACAAATATATTCCCAAAAGAATTAAATTACACTTGCAGTGAAATAACAAAATACTAGACTTTACATGATTTCAAAATAAACTCTCTAGTCTAGTACAAAAGAAATATAACTCTAGGCATCCAGTTCAGGACCCCCGTTCCCCTCTAGGGGAGTTTCCCCATGCACTGGTTCATCTACTTGTAACTCCTCCTCATAGACGAAATCTGAAAAGATATTATTTGTAGGGGATGAGCACTAAGCTCTGTAGCAACATTCCTTCCATACTCATACAAGGTTTAGAAAACAAGTAAAACAGTTCGGTCTTATTTTCCAAAATATCATATAACATTTAAAGTAAAACCATGACATTTGAAACAGATCTCAGTTTAAACATTCGCAATAATTTAAATGAACAGTAAACCCAAGTCACAATGAGCAACCATAACCATTTCCAACAAGTTCTTGTAGAGTCTCATACCTCCACAAGCTCTTGTGGGAATTGCAATAGTAACACCATAATACAAAAAAAAAACGCTTATTCCACCATCGATTATTATATTTCCTTTGGCAGGTGGCATACTTAAAAGTAAACTCCACCCCCTTCAAGTCTTTGTTTCCCATAACCGCATACTTACAAGTAACCACGGTCGTTAGATGTCCTTTTAGGTAGGTAGCATACTTACAAGTAACCTCTACCCCCTTGAAGTCTCCCACACATAACCGCATACTTACAAGTAACCTCGGTTCATAAATATCCTCTTTTGGTAGGTAGCATACTTACAAGTAACCTCTACCCCCTTCAAGTATTCCACACTTAACCGCATACTTACGAGTAACCTCGGTTCATAATTATCCTCTTTTCATACCAACAATCACATACAAGATAAAATCCACAAATTTCCCTCAACAAGCAACCATTATCAAAATCCCCAAATTTTATCATGCGACAATCCAAATAACCAATTAAGAAAAATACAAGAGATCACCACCACATCATTTTCATTACTCACACAAAGCACTAAAGTTCTCAAACCAAGCTTGAGCAAATGTAGAAAGAGAATTCCATATTTCCCCCAAAACTAGGGTTTTAAAGCTATAAAAGAAGTTTCATGGGTAATCAATCCTAACTTTGTTTAAGACATGCCATAATTGCAAGAAATCCAAGAAACAAGGAATTCCTAGCAAATACATACAAGTATGAGTCAAAACATATATATATTTTAGCCTTAGCCTCAATGGACAAGTATGGAAGAAAAACCCTACCTTGAATCAAAGTTTCAAACCAAAAACCCAAGCTCTAATGACCTCCTTTCTCCCTTTCCTCCTTTCCTCTATCTTCCCCAAGGGTGCTAAGGGGTTTGGGGGTGAGAGATGTGAGAAAAAATGGAAGAAATGGGCTGGATTCTGTGTTTTAAACACAGCAGTCCGCGCAATTCACTGTTCATGGCTAAATTTTGAGTTTTTTCCAAAATTACAGTTTTGCCACTAGAAATCTCCAATTTGATCCATACGACTACCCTAAGGTTTTTCGACGTTCCGGATTCATTTTTAATGTTATTTTAACCTAAAAACATTGCTTTTTATGATTTATTTCAAAACTAAAATAAATTCACACTTGGAACATTAAAATTTCTATTTTATTCCTTCGAACTACTATAGGTGATATCCTTACGATTTTAATATATATATGGTTTATTCTTAAGTCATTACATATAGAAGAATCACTAAACAAGTACATTAATATATTAATGTAAACATATGGGGTTTTACACCTTCAAGGTCTAATAAGAAAGCACAACCCTTTACTATCCAAGGAGCACCATTGTGCAGATTTTTGGTCAACTTCATAGAATAAACTGATTTGACTCAGGTATTTCTAGGAGGTGTAACCTATATGGTTGGAAAGATATACGAGTTAGGGTTCTAAGAAAAATAACGGTACACAATTCGGACTTTCCAATAAAGAGTTATGATGAAATTAGCGAAAGGTAGTCTGCCGGACAGATTTTTGGACAGTATAGACACTACTTCGTATTATGGACATAACTCCTTCCTCCTAGTTCCGATTGAGATGATTCAAGGTGATATGGAATCCTAAGAGAGAGCTCTACAAATTTCATGTTTTAAGTTTTGAGAGATATGGACTGCATCAAGGTCGAAATCGAGCTTGATGTTACAGCCAGTGCACTGTTCATCCCTTTTTCATTCTACCAAATTCAAACACACATCACTACACATATCCCCATTTTTACAACAATTATTTACTATATATCTATATACATATATAAAAGAAAATGCGGGGTGTTACAACTTCTCACCCTTACTACAAACCGATGCTTAAATTCTTTTATTTTTTTTCTATGTTTGTAATTTGGTTTTGGACATGAATACAAATATATTTATTGTTTACCATTTTTTTTATTATTTTGTGCTTTCAAGCACATACAATAACTAGTAAGGGTATAAAGACCATATAATCAAATGGTAGGGGTCTTAGTGTACTTATATCGAACGTTGTTTCCAAGTGGTTGTAAATTGTCATGTAACAACCATTTCTCTCTCTCTCTATCTCCTTCTCTCTCTGTAGTCAACGAGAATTTTGTTTTTGTCATATGTTAATTTCGTGACCTAAGGTCTCTTGTAATTTGATTCTTGAAAATGATGAACACAGATGAAGAAGCTATCAAATCTCTTCCAAATTCTGCCACAGTTTCTTTTCTGAATTGTATCAATCTAACTAGTCTTGACATGCAACACTCTATTTCTCTACTTAAACAGAGCTTGTTTAAGTAGAGAAATAGAGTGTTGCATGTCATGTATACATATGAAAATATTTGCTCTTAGCAGGCCATGGATTATAAACGTTATTCAATTTGGTTATTTCTTGGTGAATTCATTAAACCTGTCAAAAAATAGTCGCAATCAGTTGATAAAATGTTGATTTTAATATTTGTTTTTGATTCTATAATTTCACGGAGGATTTTTATGAAACCCTAAGCGATATTTAGTTTTTTGATCCATTTGCAATTCTTGTTCGTTGCATTTTGTATGTTAGATAACATAGATGAGGAAATCAGGAACATATACATAAAATGATTGGATGAAATTGAAGATCAACTAGCCTGAATGATGCCGAAGGATGTATAATTAATCTATATTTCAATACCTTTTTTTTTCTCTTTTTTTTCCCTCAGGAACCATTCTTTTTTATGTCAATATGTAGCAATTTGTCTATTTTTGTCATTTATTTCCAAAATTTTGGTCCAATTTTACAGAAGCACTTGTGCACAAGCACAAAAGCTCTATCCCAAAGCTCATTCTATCAAAAAAATCAACTCAGTAATTGAATTGAATCTACACAACATGTGAATTGCCAACTGGGAGGGATGCATATTCTAACTTTCTGCTTATATACATGATTGGCCATCCAAGCGGACAACCTCGTGGTTGTTAGTTTTGAGTAAAAACTGAATTGGCCCATTGTGCTGAATTTTTTTATTTGCTAGAAACCATCAATAATTATAGAAAGTTTCAGTCCTCAACCCACATGATGGAGTTGGAACAATTGACAATTTTGAGTAGTATTTTGATAATGGGAAAACAGCTTCATTGTGGCTCCATTTTTCTTGGAAGTATCTTTCTGAAGGGGTGAACTTGTATCTTTGACTGTTATGAGTGAGTAATTGATTTTCTGTGGGAAAGCAGGAGAGCCAGGCCCCCACTGTAAAAGTTATACCCTTGCTGAGAAAGGTTACAATATGCACATGTAATTATTAAGAGTAATGCTACACTGACCAAATTTTGGGACCAAATAAAGAGCCCAAATGACATGACACCTGATTATTTAGAGTCTTTATTGGGGCTCAAATGATATAGCACCACATAAAGAAGTCCAAGTTAGCTGTCATGTCATTTGGGCTTTGATTTAGTCCTAAAATTTGGTCAGTGTAGCATTACTGAATTATTAATCGCCCTATAATTAGTAATCACCACAAGTTTAAACAATATTGTGTATAAGTGATTGCATAACTATACTTCATTTTCTTGGATTTCTTCATCTCTGTCTAACATACCTGACAATGTTCATGCCCCATTTGTGTCCTTTGTCCTCCTTTGTGGCTCAGTGCCGCTTAGACCCTAATTTATGTGCTTGGATTCTGGTTTCTTCTGTGTTATCAATCATGCAATCAGTGAGGAATTCATGGATGAGGTTTTTTCCCAAAGCAAAAGGTTCTTTGATCTACCCATAAAGGAAAAAAATGAAGCTTCTAAGGAACAAGAAGCATCGAGGATATACTCATACTCTAGATGAATATTTGGATCCTATCAATCAAGTACAGGGTTAGTCTACTGCCGTTCTTTTTTGTATAATTGTATGAAGCAACAATATAGCAATATGAATAACGTAATGTAATAGTCTATGCAATGTTGTATTTGATACAAGTTTTAGTGAAGACCTTTGAACATTTTCTTAAATAAGGGGAATGCCAGAAAGACCTATGCAAAAAGAATTCCTTCAGATGTTACCCACACATCATGCACACAATAGTAATGATATCATGGTTGACACAAGTCTTCTTCATTATAAAAGGCCTTGGGTCGAATATCGGTCATACCACTGTTATTTGAACGTCAATCATAATAGAAAACCTTTGTGCCCCAATCAGTGATGAAAGTTACCAGGAGTAGTACTTCTCTCGTGAAACATCTCAGTAACTATCGACAGAACAAGTGGAAGGCCGGAAGAGTAGGTATGGTCGTGGATGATGGTCAAGTGCTACGGATAGACTAGAACGATTTGGTCGACCTGGTTTTCGACATACTGTAATTTGTTTGCATGTAAGGACGCATACTTGTGCATGTCTACATAATGCAGAAGGATAATTTTATGTCCACACCAATCCTAACGCCCTATATCACAGGACCAACATTTGTTAATGGCCTCTTTTATGTATTAGTTTACGTGTCTATGCAGTATGTGTGTATATATTTTTTATCTTCCTACTGTATTATTACTTTCATACTATGAAACACTGTCCAATGATTTGGCTTCATTTGTCCTGCTCCTCTTTTTCTTTCAGTTGGTTGCTTATATGTCATTTGTGGTTTGTCAATATTATATGCAATACTGAGGCAAAAAAGTGATTGTCCTGTTTTATGGATTCAGGAGATTACAGGGAGGGATATTATATTGGTGTTGAAGTACCCAAAGATGATTCTGACACAGAAAACCCATTTTACGGGCCAAATGTTTGGCCCTCGACAGGTAATTTTCAGGAACAATTCATTTCTCTTGTGAAGGAAATTTTTTTTCTTTGTTAAATAGTCAATAAGAATATCATTGGTCTTGGCACATTTTAATCTCTCTCTCTCTCACACACACACACGCACACGCACACGCACACGCATACTCACATATCATGTCTCTGTTTATGCTTTAGGTTTTTGTAAAATCTTTTGATTCCTTGAACTATTTGTATTTCTACAAGATATTTTGCCTGGGTGGAGGCAAACTATGGAGAAATACCATCGAGAAACATTGTAAGTTTGTCAGGCCTCTATTTTATTAGATAGAACTCAAGGTTCTATTTGACAGACCTCCGTACTCCTAGGGAATAACTCCTGTTCAAATAGGACTTTAACTATCTGGACATGGTTTGAATGTTTGAACGGTTACATTTCATTGATGTTTGTTTAATGAAGACATCAATATGTTATTGGCATCTTAAAGTATTGCATCAACTAGGAAGTGTTGTGAGAAGATCACATTATGAGGAAAGCGGAAGATCATGATAATCGAGTATTCTTTAGGGGTTCTCATTGGATGCATTCTTCTGTGATGTATATTGTCTGAAGGCATTTGATTCCTTTATATATGCATATGTATATGTGTTTGTAGTTACATAGATACGTATATCATCTACTGTAATTTTGTAGAATCTACCAAATATACGAGTTTACTATATTTTTCAGTTATCATCAATTATGCTCTACTGCTTTCAAGAACCCTTTTTTGATAATGGGATCTATTCTTTTTATTAGCTAACTGAAGCCCGACGCTAATATTCTTTATTCTTTGTGATAACAATTTTTTACATGTCCCAAAATTTATCTAACTCGTCCCAGAAAATGGATCTAACTACACTTCACTCTCAAAATTCTACGATGTGTTATGCGTCACTATTCTTTATGGATTCTCGTATGATGCATTTGTCTAAGATTTCTATTTTTTAGACAACTTTGAATCTTGGAAAAACAAAAGAGATTACCATCTGAGGTTAAAGATCCAATGATGTTAGCTGCTGAGTTCATGTTATAGACGAAACCTCTTGCATAATTTGCCTTGTTCTGATGAGACCATGGTGTCTTTTCCTACTGTAAGACTTGTTCAAAAATTATAGAGCTGGACTTTTTAGTCATCCTTATGTGTTGTTCCTCTCAACTTCTGTTTCAAATATGATGATTTGATTTTTGGCCATATCTTAGTATCTTCTGGATACATTTTCGTGTAATGAGCAGCATTGATTTAATTTTGAATGTAAAAGGCAACTTGGACTTTGCTCTTTTGTCTAATCACATTAATTTTTCTCATCTTTCTATATATGCATTCAGTGAGGTGGCAAAAGCAATTGCAAGACTCATAGCCCTTGCACTTGACCTTGGGGCAACTTTTTTTGATCAGCAAGAAATGCTTGGCAAGCCTATTTCCATGTTTCGCCTACTACATTGTGAAGGTTAAAATTGACACAAAAGCTACCAAACTCCATTGTGGAGCATGCAAAATTTTTTTTGTTGATTGATGTCACTTGTGTAATGTTGACTCATTGATTGTTCATTAGGTCTAATATCTGGTCCCACAAAGGGATTATATGGAGCTGTTGCCCATTCTAATTTTGGTTTGGTTACCCTCTTGGCTACGGATGATGTTGCTGGTCTCCAAGTAAGGATGAAGCTGAATTACACTATAAGTCCATTAAGTTCATTCTAATTTTTGATAGGGGATTGTAACTTTTTAATTTGTTTCAGATATGCAAGCATAAGGATGTCAAACCTCAGATCTGGGAACATGTGGCACCATTGAAAGGGTGGGTTAGTATAGCATTGAGATTGTTAATCGTGGAAAAGAAGATGAGTTATACACAATCTATTGAAGTTGTGTTTGTCCGTCAATGTAATTCATGCATCTTGCTAGTAATTTATTATGACCCATTTATCCCACATTGGGTATATACTTGGATAATTTTGGATTTGTTTTACATTGATGGGCTCACAACCTATGCGATTGAGCTTTTGGGTGGTCGAGTTGGCTCAAACACGTATGGTAGACCCCATCTTGCCAACAAGTGGTATCAAAAGCATGTTGGGCTCTTCCATTGTGGACTCTTCATCTTCCCGACAAGTGATATCAAGGGTTGTCCATATTGAGCCAACTTCCAAAGCTTAAACTTAACTTATTGGTACTGAGTTCATCCTATATATATTAGAATATCCTCATGCCGTATTGACCCAAGTTGGACTTTACTCCAATATTATGCATGCGGAACATATGTCGCAATGACTTTATCCTTGTGTTGTCCTGAACAATAGCTTACCATCATTGCTGTTGTTGATAAATTTCCTCTTTAGTTTATTGTAATATTACTGCTTTACTGATTGATATTTGACTTCCAGAGAATTTATTGTAAATCTCGGTGATATGCTGGAGCGCTGGAGCAACTCTATGTTTAGGTAAGGTGCATTTTCATTAGCAGTTGTTATCCTGCTGGCATCCAGTGCCATAGGCGAGTTGGAGATGTTTGATATCAATTCTTGCCTAAATTTGAATATTAGTTAACTAGTTCCCACTTTTAGTTTAAGTTTCAAAGTTTGACTATAATGTCTAGTTGTCTACCTTTTGACTTGGTCATGATTCATGGTGAAACTGGCACAAGTTATCAATCGTTTGATGAAATATCTCATTCAACAATTGCGTATTGTTGAATTGCTAAACTATTGTCATTGCGGGTTTTGTTCTCACGGTGATTTGCATGCTCTTAGAGTTATTTAATTATATCTTCTGAACTTCTAGACATACCAATTTCATGGAAATGTGACCCTTTGTTAATTCTATCCAGGTCGACATTGCATCGAGTTTTGGGGAATGGTCAAGAGAGATATTCTGTAAGGCCCTTCGGAAGCTTTTAAATGTGTTTCTAACATACTATAATGATTGTTTTTAGATATTCTCTCCCTTAAAAATCTGTATTTATTTTCTTTTTGAAACCCACTTCATTCATTTACAAAAAATTTAGATAAATCTTTAAGCTATACATTATTAGTTTATCATACATGTATGACCGATTGATTACACTTTGGTCTTTGACACTTTGCATTAATATTTAGGCCCCATTTCTAACCGTGTTGTTCAACCTTGAAACAAGTTGTAACTGGGCTACTCGGGTAGGGTAAAGCTTTCGAGACTAATCTTGTGGGAGTATTTACCCATAGTCGATTCGTTTTGAGTTAAATATTTTAACAATACTGATTAGTTTATCACTTTATCCATTCTATCATCATACTATAAGTGGAAGCAGAACCGAGTTACAAGTGCTGCAATGTTTAAGTGGTTCCTCAGCATGTTCTAGGTTTGAAGCTACTAGGAAGCATTCACACCAATTAAATGAGTGGACACATATGCACAACAAATGTGTGTGAGTTATACAAAGTGCTTCAGCTAATTTTTTGGATAGTTTATTATTTATATCTATGTGACATTACTTCTACTGTCCAAAAATTACAAGGTTATTAAAAATTATAGTTATCTCAAGGTTGTTTAAGGTTCTGCTATTGAAAATTATAGTTAGGTTGTGGAAAGCAATTATTTTAGTTTGCAAGTGTTAATGAGATAAATTCAATTTTGAAACAGTAGACTCCTTTTATAAAAGGAGGCTTTTGCATGTTGGAATTCAAATTGAAAACATCTTTATAATGTTAGGCAACTTTTTTAGCTTTCAAAGCGCATAAGCTCAACATTTACGAAGAATTGAAGATTATAAATGTTCGTGTTAAGTTTCCTGCTTTCCCAAAGCATATCCATCTTTTGGCTGTCAAAGCTTAGCTGGAAGTTCTTCAAATTACCATGCCAATGAGGCATGTGCTCACTGCTCAGGCGTGAAAAGAAGTTTCTCATGGCCATGGCTGACTTCTGGATAGCTCTAACTACATACCTTCCAAGTTCCCACTTATTTTTCTGTATGAGCATGTGGTTCAAAATAATCTGATTTTGCTTAGTTAGATATGAATAAGGATTATCGTGACACCAGTGAGATTAGTTGTATTGCTTTATTATTATTGATCTTTTGCAATTTTTCTGTACCGACTTTAGTTGCTAATTTCTCATTATACACATTGCACTACTCATTTTGGCCTATTCCTCTGAGGATGGATCTTGGTGTAGCAATAAACAGCCTGGAGTACATCTACCCCCAAACCCCGTAATAGCAAAAGTCTCATGCACTTGCTGTCTTATTTTGGTCTACTCCGTTGATTCTACGTCTTTTTTCCATGCCACTTCTTGTTATGTCTTGCTTCTAGATATTACTTATGCTAGATATCTGTTTATGAACCAAAAAAGATGGTAAATGTTTTGTATATTCTCTCTGGGTGCAAATTGCATACTTTGTGAAGCCTAATCACGATTGCCTTGTTGAATGCTTGCCAACGTGCCAGTCACCGAAGAACCCTCCCAAGTAAGTACAGATCAACAGCACTATGAACACAATCTTACCGCTTATAGGTTTATCTGAACCTCTGGTTGATCCAATTAGGGATCTTAGGGCACATAAAGTGGTTCATGAAGATTATCACCTATTGTGATTGATGAGTATAGTAATCACGCAAGAGTCCTTAAGGCTTGGGCAATAGCCCGTGGACCATGGGATGGCCCATAAGCCTAGAGTGCCATAGGATTGGGCCATAAGTCGTGGGTATTGGCTCACTAGACTTGACAAGTTGGGCCAATTAGGTAACAAAAAATAGACCTATTAGTCCGATGGAGTTCAAAACAAATGCTGAATTTGAAAAGGAGAATTTGGAAGACGGTACAAAAATTTGGACTTAATTGAGCTAAACTACATTAAAGAAACTTATTTGGCCCTAAATGCATAAAGGCCATTTATTATTCCTTTATCTTGTCTTTCTCTCCATTACTCTCTCACTCTCTTTTCCCTATTTTCTCTCTATCTATCTCTCTTTCTTACATTGATAATTTATTTTTGTTCAAATATGTAAAAAATTGATTTAATTTTTTCATCTCTCTCCCCTATTTTCTCTCCTTATTTTCTCTCTTTATCTATATCTTTATATTAATGTTATAACAATACAGTTACACCAATCAGTTATAATTACCCTATAATACATCAATCAGTTATTCATGTATTTTAATAAACCAAACAGTTATACTAAACAATTATACAAAATTATAACACCAACTCAATTTGTCATTCAGTTGTTTACATAACTAAAAAGTTGTACCATTTAGTATCATGATATGGTTACACCAATTATATACAACAAATTGTGTTTATCATTATACAAAAGACTTTACCGTTGTACCAAATTTGGTGTATATAATTGGTGTAACCATGTCGTGATACTAAATAGTGTAACTCTTTGATTTATATAAACAACTGAATGACAAATTGGGTTAGTGTCATAATTTTGTGTAATTATTTAGTGTAACTATTTGGTTTATTAGAACACATGAGTAACAACTTAGAGTATTATAGGACAATTGTAACTAATTAGTGTAATTGTATTGTTGTAACGTTGATATAAAGAAAGAGAAAAAATAAGCAGAGAGAGTAATGGTGCGAGAAAATAGGGGGAGAGAGATGAAAAAATTAAATCAAATCTTTACATATTTGAAAAGAAAGTAAATTATCAATGGGAGATAGAGAGAGAAAATATGGGAGAGAGATGGAGAGAAAATAGGGGATAAATAATGAGAGAGATGGAGAGAAAATAGGGGGAGATAGTGAGAGAGGGATAGAGGGAAAATAACGGAGAGATTGAGAGAATAAAAATTATGCATAATTTAAGGAAGGGTAAGTAAATAAAAAAATCAAATGTTATTTGAATTTTGTACATAATCACAAGATGTTTTTATTAAAATTGAACTTAATAGAGTAAAATACTTATCCATACACTTTCTCTCAAATAAGTCTAAAAAAGTGTACCCACACCTAAAAACCCATTTGAAAAATAGAATCAGAAAAGTAGAAATAAAATGACACATCAGCCGGCTTGATGGGTTGGCTGTGACTGTATTTTTTGGGGCGTAGTTGTCCGGGCCAGTGATCTGAGATTGACCCAACCCACGGCCCACCTTTGCGTGTTGACTGATGAGTCAGGGTATTCTGGGACAATTGCCCACACTTAAGAGTAGGGTTGATAATTGAGCTGAGTCGAGCTTGAACAATTTTTTAAGCTTATTTAGAAAAACGAGCTTAAAAGATTCGACTTGAACTCACAAAACTCAACTAATTTATATGTAAAGTAGTTGAGCAACAAAATGAGCTGAGCTTAAACAATAATTTTTTAGGCTCGTTTAAAAAAACGAGTTCGATAGGTTCAGCTCGAGCTCGTAAAATTCAATTTGATTATTAGTCCTATTTAAGAGTTCCCCCCCACCCCCCGCGCGGGCGTGCGTAGACGCACACACAGGCGCACCCAAAATCGGTCCTCCTTGTGGATGCTAAGGTTGCTTTTCCTTTGCCAGGTATCCTTCAATTAAATGTGAAACGTACTTGCTGCAGCGATACAAGGAGACTCATGCTGATCTGAACTCTTATAAATAAAACCAAACTTAACTAGCCATGGCAGGGGACTTTTACTTGAAACGCCTGCCACTGAATTTGTACTATGGAGTTTGCTGCCAATGCTACCGAGGTGTGTATACCACCAGACTCTTTGTATACTAAATCTGTAAGCTTGTCAGGTGTTAAGGAGAATATTTACATTTTAACTTTTATTATTATTACTAGCCATTTTCAACAGTGCCTGATAGCATTTGATGTGTTATTCTTTGTCCCACCTGTTTAACATCTTACATTATTAATAGACTAGGGATAACTCATGTCTGAAAGTACGGTGCAATATGAATGATTTTAAGAAGGATGTTGGTGGTTATTGAATGAGTCTATTTAAAATCGTCGAATGAGTTTATTGAAGTCATTTTGTTTCATATTATAAATATTCTAATCACGTGCTTTTTGGATTGATTAAAATGTAAATCTTAATCTTCGATACTTACAATCACCCATAACCAAAAGCATCCATTAAACCCAAAATTTATATTATCAGGGTAGCTCAAATTCAGGATGTGCATATTTATATCTTGCCAAAATCTTTTATTGGACCATTGAACCAATCCGGATAAGCTTTTGAGGATACTTTTTCAATCAGACTTAGTTTGGTCAAACAATGTTAAAACATTTTCAACTTGAAATTAACTTGCTTAAAGTCCACCTCTTGGCATAAGGGTGCAATTCATGTTATTGCCACTCCAACAAGTCGCATGTAGAGAGTTCATTAGAGTATAATATCACGATGATTAATAAAAAGACTCTCATACCAAAATTACACATATATAATTTTACATACTTTACTAAAATGCGGAAATCCTTGAACTTGTGTTTTCCCAAAAACACAAAAAGACACTTGTGAAATCAGACAACAAGTCCATTTGGACTTCATATATCCAGACTCATTGAGATCAAGATATATTTTGAAATTACAACTCACAAAAGCCAGCCAAAACTTAATAACATACAACGAAGGCACATCATAACAACAATAGGCTTTAAAATGAAGTACAAAAGTTATAAGCTGTAGTTGGTAGTGACACAATTCAATGGTATGTCCGGTAAGTAGGAGTGTACATACACCTTTCAGCATACTTCACCAGATTCTCAGGTCGGGGGAGACTTGTCGCCACACCTACAAAGCATTTCTGTAATGTGGCGAACATAAATTCATGTCTCGGCAAGTAGCTTGGAACAAAAATAGGGAAAAGAAAATATGTACTCACCAAGTTCATATGCTTTAGTAGCTACCTTAGCAGCAATGTGAGCAGAGATCTTTCTGATATTAGTGAATGGAGGGTAAATCATGCCCTTAGCTAAATGCTCCTCCATTACTTGACCAGCCAAAGCTTCCGTTGTTTTAATGGAGACATTTGGAAAATTAATACCGAGAGAATTCTGTTGCTTGCTTTACTGCAATGACAACCTAACATTGTGTTGCCTTTAAAGTCACTGTAGTCTGAAAGGCATATTGTAATGTTTCATTTTCACCACACAAGAGTTTACATGTCTAGAGAATAGGAAAAGATGACAAGTATTCTGTTTTTGTCATTCACTTGAATCGGAGCACCTAAATTTTTAGACAATATCAGTATGAAATAGTAAATTCAACACTGTTCTTCATTATATACTTACCCGCTACAAGAGGCATTTCATCATGGACACGAATCGCATCAGAGATGACCAAGCCAATGTCAAACACAGGGAAAATATAAGCATTGTTCGCCTACATTAAGATAGAAATTTTTTTCTCAATTTTTGATGCCCATGCTGAAGATATTATCGTACAAACACATCAAACAATGCAAGTCTCATGGAGATTAACGAAAAAACATGGCAAAACTTGGAAATTGGAAGATATAGAACCTGGCCAGCTGTGTAAACTTTCCCCTTGTAGTCTACAGGGTCAAATGGACTTCCACTAGCAAAAATTGCACAACCCTTTATTTTGGAAGGAAGAACAAGCAATAAGTTAAGAGTTAGGAGGCAAACAAAAATATATTAGGAGATGAATATAATTACCCCATGTTATATGCTATAATAACATAACTATGTTTATGGTGTTAAGCCAACACCTGTTTTGACATCTCAAGAACTATAAGATCTGTCATACCAATCCCAGCCTGCAATTACAAGATGACAATCGTGAGACAAATCAATTGTGATCTTATTTTGATGTTTGATAGTTAGATACCATATGTCACCAATTTAAGGGCTTGGAAAGCGACAGAAAAAACCAGGAAAACTGAACATGTCCATCAAGAAATTGCAAGAGGTTTAGTTGAAGATGTGGTAAGGCCAACATCAAGGTGTATGCTTGGTCACATTGGTTTTTTTCCCCATCAATTCAGTCTTCCCCGTAGTTTTTGATATATAACCAATTTGCTCCATAGACCAATGCTAAAAGAGTGCCTCAAATATTTCTCAAATAGGGATAGAGGGGTCGTGGGTAGGACACACAACCTCAAATGGAGTGGGTTCATGACTAAGATCCCCCCAATGCCCATCCATAAATTGTTACCCCAACGCCAACCGATCCATGATCTAGGTAAGCCCAAATTATTACACTAACCTTGAATTGTAACTCCAAGTGGTACTTTATTTTGTAATCTTGGTCTTCTTCAAAAGCATATTTTGATTGGTTTTGATTTGAATGTTTTTGTAATACAAATGTAGAACTATTTACTTTAAATATACTTTTGTGATTTGAATGTTTTTGTAATACTAATATGGAACTATTGGCTTTTGTTATTCACAACCCTTGGTTGGTGTAACACCCCACCCTCCACATGGCAAAATATTTTTCACTTAGGGCTGCGCATTCCCATGTAGTAGCTCACCAGCTACCTGCTCGCCCATGTGCACGCATGCACGGCAGGGGCCCACACTCGATCCAGGCGAGGGTCGGCTCTGATACCACTTGTAACACCCCACCCTCCACATGGCATAATATTGTTCGCTTTGGGCCCACTGGCCCTCACAGCTTTGTTCCTCCCAGTACCCCTGGGAAAAGGCCTTTTGCCATGTAAGGTGAGGGGCTTATTAATAAGCCCAACAACTTTCCCCTCCCTAACCGATGTGGGACACCAGGATCTCACAGTTGGTAGGTTGTTTTGCATTGTGGTTCAAAGCAATACCCTATTCAAGGGCGACTTAAGAAAACTTGAGGCCTAAAGCGACATTTGTAAATAAGGCCTTTTTAAAATTGTTCGTATTACTAATTCTCTCATTCTTTCTTGTGATATGATCAACCTTAAGTAAGACTTTATTATTTTTAAAATTTTTGTTACTAATATTTTTTCATTTTTTTTGTATGTTTTGCATCCAAAATTTGTTTTGCATGTTTAAATCTCATCGTGAATATTTTTTTTTTATTATTTCTTATTCTTTTGGATCTATTAATTGTTTATTTGCATGACTTTAACCTATTTTTCTATGACATTTTGTTTGGTAGTAGGAATAAAGAGATCATTTTGAGATTTAATTATTTTAAAATTATCTCATTTTTTAGAAAGATTTTTCACATCCAAATGATTATTTTCTAGTTACCATATTTATAATAAATAATCAACAAATTAGTTCTAAATAACCATATGATATTTATAATTACAGAATATAACATGAGCTTAAAATTATAGAGAAAATATAAAAATAATATAGTTTTATTTATCATAGTTATTTGCAACATTAAAATTTGATATGTTAGTTCTTTCTAAATCAAAGTTTATAAAATTAAGTAAGGTATATTATGTGAGTTTGATTTGATGTATGATTTAAGATAAAAAGTTGTGCGTGTGTGAGAGGGAGAGAGAGTTTTATTTGTGTTTAATTGGAGATCTAAGATAGAGTATGTGTGTGTTTGAGTGACAGAGACAGGAGACTTTTGCTTTTACAGTTTTTGTTTTATTGAATTTTGATCGTTACAACAAAATGTGTGGCCTGTATTTTTGAGCTCAACTATTGAATCTAAAATTTAGTTATTACGTGTATACTTTATTAAGACTTTTTATGGAGTTTATATTTTCATATATTTAAAATTTAGATTGAATTATACTTATTGTACATTAAAAAATATGGGCCTTATTTGTAATTGGGGCCTAAAGCCCCTGCTTTTTTGTTTACACTGCTGGCCGGCCCTGACCCTATTCATGTGGCCTCAAGGGCGCTTCTGTTTCTTGGTCTTCAACCTTGAAACTCTTATCGTAAGTATCGAAGTAATGATTGGTTGTGTGTGTATGGAAGTATAGTTATGCAAATGCAAGAGTGAAAACAATTCGAATAATAGTTCCACAGCAAATGGTGACCCAAAATAGTGTACAGATAAAGTCTATCTTCATCACGACGCATATCAGAGAAAATACCGTACCTCATACCTATACCAAATCAAGTAATCAACCCACGATCTAAGGAATATCGGTGTCAAATAGAAAATCCTCAAAGCAAACCATATTTTGGAGCACAAATAAATAAAATATTTTGGAAAGTCACTAATATTTCCTCTATAAGTTTCTGGTGCCATCATTACTGTACTTCTGTACTGTACCACACCCTAACCTAGTTATTTTTGCTTATCTACCTAGGATGTTAAGATTCAGAAATAGGTGGAGGAGTAGAATCTCACTTGCCCAACACCAAGGAATAAGAATTTGTGGTCAGCCAAAGTACCACCAAGTAACTTTAGTGCTGTAACAAGCCCTACAAGATCCACTGCTGTTGTACCCTGAAAAATGGAAACAAAAAATTAAACAAGAACACAGAACACCTAACACCTTCCAGTGAAAATATCAACCACGACGTAACACCTGTATATCATCATTGAAGACCAGATGAGTAGTGTGATATTTCGCCAGTAGCTCAAAAGCATTGTAATTTGCAAAATCTTCAAACTGAGAGAGTTCATAAATTTTTTTTACCAATGTTAGAAATGCTTAAATAATTCTAAAATCCAGAAAGCCTAAATCTTTGATGAAGTCTAACACATTAGAGCGATATTTCACTTACCTGTACGAGAACTTTTTCACCATAGTTTTGCTTAACAGCAGTCATGAATTCATGTAAAAAGTCATAATATTCCTGGGGTAGGAAAAACTGTCATCCTTCAACAACTGCTCATTGTTTGTCCCCACAACGATAGTTATAGGCAAACATTACATAGAGGTGAAAACATTTCATTAGTAAAGTGAACCAAAATGATAGTGCCAAACCAAACTCCACAAATTTTGATCAAGCTCATAAATAAACAATGTCAAATAGATTTATTTATTTAATACAGTGAAGAAAACCATACTAAGAGAGATGAGTTTCATGTGCACTAAAGAAAAACTTGAAGAACGTAAATATCCCAACATCCAAATAGAATAGTCAAACAAAAATGACAGTTTCCATTTGTTGTGGTTCTTACCACTGAAGGTCTAACTCCTCCAAGGGTAGTATATAAAGCCAGTTTCCCTACAGGTATCCCCATCCCCCTGCAACAATTTAAAAATTGCTATGTGAAGACTAGTTCGTTGTCGTTCTGGTCTTATATTTATAAATGTGAATTCGGCATTTAAGATACTTACAGTTACAAATGATAGAAAATGAATCCTCGCATATTTACCTGGAAACCAAGGTCCCCAAGTCACACCATCACTCACAACAATAACTTGAATATTCCTTTCGGGCCAGTTCTTCAGTACCTCGACAATCTTCGCCTTGCAAATTTCAAGTGATCTCTCTATAAACTTGGGGAAAGGCTACGGTACCCAAGGAGGCATTGTACCAAAATTTACAACTTGTAATGTTTAGTTATAATTTTTTTTTGTGTAAATTACAATTTTTAGAGGTTATGATCGATCATAATAGATTGAGATCGATACTGAAATTATAATTGTTAAAGGTTAAGTTATAACTTTTAAAGGTCAAGTTACAATTTTGAAAGAGAGAAGTTACAACTGTTCAGAGGAGTCCATGATCGATCATGTGTATCTGTGATCGATCATGGTCTCCTTAAGCAGTTGTAACTTCTCTCTTTCAATGTTGTAATTTTGTCATAGAAAATAATAACCGGTAGTACATAACCGAATTTTTTTTGTTCCATACCATAGACTTTCCCATTAACTTGAACCTACTTTTAAAATGTAAATGTTGTAATTTAGAGCTCAAACAAAAAATCATACTTCTCTTTCAAACTAAAGTAGATACTCTGAGGCCACCTAAAAATGCTTCCATATTTCTGGCAAGCAACACTAACAGTCAGAGTGTAGACAACTGGTAGGAGTTCTTCAACATTATCAATAAGAAGCTTATAGAACAACCTCTCATTCCTCTCCTGTAAATCATTTTAAACACAGACTCACTGAAATTTGTACGCGCGTAATATAATTGTATATTAATTACGATTTTATAAGAAAAAAATTAAATTTTTATTTGTGATTTTATTTCAATAAATGATACAATAGAACATGAATTTTAATTGTAAAATTTAAAATATTTTATATTTTATATTTGATTGAAGTATTTTTGGTGTAAGTATAACATTTTAAACTTAAAGGGTCTAATTAATATATGTTTACAAATTTTAGGGGGTCTGAGTGTAATTTATTAACGTATATATTTAGAGCAGGGTCTAAGTGTTAAGCGTGCACAAATTTTAGGGGGTCTTTGTATCAGGGAATCTAAATGATTAAGTGACAATCCTCAAGAGGTGTAGGTGTAATTCTTTCTTTTTTTTTTAATCTAAATTGGAGATGTATACAACAACAACAACACAACATAATTTTGTATATAAGAATCGTGTTAATTTTAATAGGATACAATTTACACATGATCTGTTATCAATAATAATTTGTGCTAATGCCTAATTAGATTGTTACAAGTTAATTTACGAATTGAGATTTTCTTCATTGTACTTAGATTAATAGCTAGCAGGTCACATGTTATAAATTGAAGCAAACTCATTATTTTTAAGTAGGTCCATCACACATATTCACATACTTGATAAACGATCTATGGTTAAGTGACATTGAATGAATGTGTCATAGAAATTGCTGAGAGGATTAGATAGATATTGTAATTAATTGTACCACTTTTTTTTTCTAACAGTCACATTCATCCTCTAATGCTCCGTTTGGTAAGAATGATAAAAAGTAAGAGAGATGAAAAGTAAAAATGATACACTTTGTATACTTCAAGGAAGAAAAATAGGAATGATACACATTCTTTCCTTTGTATTTGGTAGAATGGATGAAAAATAAAAATGATTAAATTTTTTTTTGTGCTTCTTAAGATTGAAAAAATATTTATTTTAATTTTTAAAACTTTTCTAAATTTTTTTTAAAAAAGTATAAATACATATTTTATCATTGTATTTATATATGAAATTAATGTATACATAATATATGTATATGTCAAAGGATATATAGACAAATAAGTTATATATTTCAATACAATAAATTCACTTTTCATCCACTTTTCTTCTAATTTTGGAGACACTGATTTTGGTGAGTTGGAAGGAAAACTCATCTATCTATTTTTTCATTTTTTTTATTTTTCTTTCTTACCAAACATGATGTTTTTTCTATCCCTCAAACTTTTCATCCTTTTATTTTTTCATCGTACCAAACGAGCATAAAAAATTTGGTTTTAGGCTCCATAGCTCACCCTGTAGCAAGATCAACATCAAACCCTTAAGGGTGATTCAATTGTTGAGCTTGGTCTTTGGTAATCTAAAGGTCTCAGGTTTAATCCTTTCCCACACTCCCTAAGCACTAGCCACCTTATCCTTTTATATTCTAACTCAACTCAAGCCACAATAACTAATGAAAACTCAAGTTGGCGCAAGTTTGGATACCATGTAACAAAAAAAAAAAAGAAGAACAAAATCATATCCATGTTCAACCTTTGATACATCCAATTTTTTTTAAAAAAACCGTTGATAGAGGAAATGGAAAAATTAAATAGAGATAATTATTAATGTAATAACAAAAAGATAACAATCACTTAGATTAAATAGACAAGTTTATAAGTGGAACAAAGAGGATTTGGTAATATTTTTGATCGTATTAAAGTTCTTGAGGAAAAGATGAGGGTTGCTGAGATCCTTATTGAAACAGAGGATTCATTGGTTAACCAGCAAGCTCTTTGATTCTCATCAAAAAGATCTTGATGAAGTCTTGAGGCTTGAGGAGGTGTATTGGAAGCAAAAGGCGAATGTGAAATGGGTTTGGAGGGCAAAAAAAAATACTAAATTCTGTCATGTCTTAGCTAAAGGAAAGGCAGTTAAAAATAGAATTCAGAGAATTCAGAATGGAGAGGGTGTATGGATTGATAATGAGGAGGAGATTGGGAAGTGTGCTGAGGACTTTTATGCTACCTTATACAGAACTAAAGGGCATGAGATGTAGGAGCATTTATTTGAAGTTATTCCTAGAATTGTGACGGATGAGTTAAATGCTAAGATTCTTAGGGAAGTATCTTTGGAGGAAGTGAAATCTGTTGTTTTTTCTATGTCAATTCACAGTGCTCCAGGGGTGGATGGGTGGTCTGGAAAATTTTTCCAGGTAGCCTGGGATATCATTAAGCATGATGTGTTAAAGGCAGTTAATTTTTTTTTAAAGGTGGCATAATTCCAAGGTCCGTAAATGCTACTTTGTTGGTGATAATTCCTAAGAAGCTTAATCTAGTTTCTTTTGCGACTTTAGGCCTATCAGCTTTTGTAATTTTTTTACAAGATTTTTACTAAGTTGTTGACCTCTAGATTAGCTCCTTTGCTGGCTGTGTTGGTGTTTGAGTAGCATGGTTTTGTCAAGGGTAGAGGTATTGGGGAATGTATTTCCTTGGTTCAGTTAATGGTGAATGACTTGGATAGGAAGGTGGAGAGTGGGAACATGATTTTAAAGCTTGACATGATGAAGGCGTATGACAAGATAGAGTGGGATTTTTTGTTGAAAGTGCTTTCTTCTTTTGGATTTTATGAGCTCTTTGTTAAGATCATTGAGAATTGTTTGGTAAATCAAAAGATTTATGTATGTGTGAATGGTTTGAGAAGGGGTTTGTTTCCTGCTTCTAGGGGGTTAAGGAAAGGGGTTCCCATCTCCCCATGCTTATTTGTGTTGGCTGAAGAGGTCTTGAGTAGGGGTCTATGCAGAATTTATCAGGAGGGTCTAGTGAAAGGTTTTCATCTGGGAAGAGGCTCATCTTTAGTGAGTTATTTGCTTTTTGCAGATGACACTCTAATTTTTTTAAGGGGCTGAGAAAATCTCTGGAACACTTGTTGAATTTTTTGAAGGAATATGAGATGTGTTCAGGCCAGAGGGTAAGTCTACCTAAGAGCTCAATGTTTGTTTCAAAGCATATTGGGAGCTCTAGGAGGCAAGTACTGTCTGAGATGGCTGGGATTCCTATCAAAAAATGTCCATTTACTTACCTAGGTTGTCCTATCTTTAATGAGAGGACTAGGATCATGTATTTTGAGGAGGTTTTAGTGAAATTTCGACAATGGATGGAGGGTTGGTTTTCTAAATTGCTTTCTAATATGGGTAGAGTTCTTTTGGTACAATCAGTACTGAGCTCTATTCCTATTCATCTTTTAGCTTGTGTGAATTTGTCTAAGAATATTTTGGCTCGTATGAATTCAATGATGGCTAGTTTTATTTGGTCAAAAAAATTGGATAGTAGGAGGAGGCATTGGGTTTCTTGGGCAAAAGTGACCTTACTTAAATCTGAGGGTGGTCTGGGTTTAAGGAAATTGGAGGAGGTGCAAGATGCCTTTCGAATAAAGCAAGTATGGAGATTGATGAAAGGGGATTCTTTGTGGGCTAGAGTGTTTAGTACCAAGTTTCTGAAGGGTAAGCATATGATGAGATGTATGAGTAGGGGTTGTTCTAAGTGTTTCAATGTTTTGAGACCTTTTTTTTATAAGGTGGAGTGTAAGTCGAAAGTTTTGGTTGGTAATGGAGAGAAAAGTAACTTTTGGTGCGATAACTGGTTAGGGAGTGGGCCTTTAATAAGCAGAATTGTAGGTGTTCCTTGTGTGTTTCCCAGATTATCAGAGGTGGCTGGGGCTCAGTGGCAGTTTGATAGGGTGGATGATTTGTTGAATGATCAGTTAAAATGTAAACCCCCACACTCTTATCTTTATATAACAAGTAATTATTTTTGAAATGCTAATATAGGTGATGAGGTATGCATGAACCCTATAGATTTCAATAGTATGAATAAACACTATGGAGGCAAATTTTTTTTTTGAAATTTAATTTTTGGAGGTGTTTAAGGTTGATAAGGGTAACTAAGTAAAAATATTAATTTTTTTTAGGTCAAAATAATATTATCATTGAACCTAAGAGATCCGAAAAACTTGGAATAGCCGTTTAGCACATATAGCGGTTCGGAGGAATAAAATAGTAATTTTAGTGTTTCGAATGTAAATTTATTTTAGTTTTGAGATAAATCATAAAAATAAATGTTTTTAGGTTAAAATAACATTAAAAATGAATCCGAAACGTCGAAAAACCTTAGGGTAGTCATGTGGATCAAATTGGAGATTTTTAATGGCAAAACCGTAATTTTGGAGAAAACTCAAACAGCCTGTGAACAGTAACTTCGGGACTGCTGTGTTTAAAACACTGATTTCAGCCCATTTACTTCCATTTTTTTCACTCCACTCTCACCCCAAACCTTTTAGCACCCTAGGAGAAGATAGAGGAAATGAGCAAAGGGAGAAAGGAGGTCTCTAGAGCTTGGATTTTGGTTTAGAACTTTGATTCAAGGTAGAAATTTCTTCTCATTCTCCTACATTGAGGATAGGGTTTATGTATATATGTACTCTTTTGACTCTAAATTCAATATGTATGTTATAAAACCTTTAATTCTTGCTATTCTTGCAATAAATGCTATGTTTTAAACAATGTGATGGTTGGGTAACCATTAAAGCTCTCTTTTTCATCTTCAAACCTTATATTTTAAGAAAAATTGATTTTTCTCTCCATATTTCCTTTGTTCTTGATTTCCAAACTTTAGGCTTTCTATTAATCAATAAAATGGTATTGATGTTGATCTCTTGTCTATTTTTCTTACATGGTTCTATTGGATAACATACGAGAAATTTTGGGATTTTGGGAATTATGAACTTTTGTTGAGAAATTGTTGGTGAATGTATCTCATGGAGGTGTTTGGATGACCATGGGTGGCCATTGACCGGGTATCGTAGGGTGGGTAGATGTGTGTGGTTCTTACTCTGTTCGGGTTTGAATTTTTTCTACCACTCGTAGTGGGGTTGGTGCCTTGCGAGGACCAAATCACTATTAGCTCACGTGTGCTGTGTCAGAGGAT